TACTTGTATACTACTCAATGGTAGCATAGTAGCAACCAGTAAAAGGTCACCAATGTTGATCAGAAGTTAGAGCATAATTAAGCATAGCAAATTATACAAAATAACTCCCAAAAATTCAGCAATGCAAACACAAAAACCCCTCAGATAATATAAGTCACCAAAGCTGCCCTACAGTCATGGGCACATAGTATTCAGAAGGATAAGTGTATAAAAACAAAGGTGACAGTAGCTAGGATCTGTTATGTCTCTTTGATTTCTTTTGATTTTACTCCGGCAAATTCTGAGCTGCGCCAGATAGAAATCAAACCTTATGCAAATAAATATCAATACATCTGTTAACCTATTTCAGGTTGAAACAATCTCTGTGCAAAGTTTGTCACTGTTTGAAAATTGAGTTGATGTAAGAACAATATAAAACAGACCAAATTTCTTTTTTTTTCGAATTTGAATGTTCTAAAATCAGTTAAAGTCTTATACATGTATGCACTTGCATAAGGTAGATTTCTATCCGAAACAGCTCTCAAATATATATCATGCAATGACCATATGATGTGAAATAGTATACACAGTGACATATTATGTTTTTAATGGCATGTACAAAAAATATGCCAATCTACATTATGCTTTTAATGTCAAAAAAGTATCCAATCCTAAAGGTAAATTTTCAACAGGATTTATAATGTTAACTGTCAAATTTTACCATGTTTTCCTTAGCAGTGGATACCCCTTAGTGTCATCCAGCAAAATCCATGATCAAATCTTTGTTAAAATGGAATAAACATACAAAAACTAAATGAATTTTCTCCAACAGATATAAATTGAATCTAAATAAAAATAATAAACTAATTAGCTATTAGTTTCAAAACAATCATTTAAACACAGCATTTTTCTGAAAGAAAATGTTACTGTAAATTCAGAAATTATTGCGATGTTTTTATTATCGCGAAAAATGCGACAGGGTTATAAACGCAATAATTTAAACTCGCATATTGAAATATTTTATATGAATTAAACAGGATTTTCTCAATATCACAAAAATTAGAATTGCATTTTAGTCTAAAATGACAAAGTCGCAATAATAAATGCACGAAATAATTTCTGAATTTACAGTATTTATCTTGCAAAACATTAGGTACTGGCCAAAACTACATATGCAAAACAAACTTTAACTAGCATAATAATCAATTTAATACACAATGCATCTGCAAATCAATTAAACAAATAAATAAAAATTTTAATTATTCTCCCTGTTACTGAAATATTCAGAGGGGAAGTAACTCACTGATTACAGATCACTAATAATTTAATTCAAAACAAACAAATATACAATAATAAATAATCTGGAATGATACGGACAACGATTCAACCATGTGAGACCATCATACATATGGTTAGTTCAGGTCATTAAATCCCCTAAAGTAGTACAATAACTTTCCACCAAAAAAATTGAAATAACCATACAGTAACAATCAAACAGAAACTCAAATTAGATTGATTTGGATTTTACGCCACTTTCAGCACTATTGTGCTATTTCATGGCAGTCAGTGTTTATTTGTAGATGAAGGCAGAGTACACGGAGAGAACCACTGACCTTCTGTAGGAAAACTGACAATCTTAGTTAATTAAGATTGGAGTCAATCACACCTGCAATATGCAGAATTCAAACTCACAACCTCAGTGTTGACAGGCTAGTGATACAGTAGTATGACTATTTAGATCACTCGGCCACTGAGGCTACCTCAAATTAGAGATTGTTGTTGTATTTTCACCAAACATTTTATAAGTAAAATCCATCATATCCTTGGCAAGGTATTAATTTTGTGGATTTCGTGGGTATAGGTTAACTCCTAAATTAAAATGTTGAACAAAATACAAACTTCCTATAGGCTTGTATATATACATGCAGAACTAATATCAAAACCCCTAAATTAAAAAAATACAAAAATACTCCCACGAAAATAAATGAATTTAAAGTATATAAACCAATAACTAAAATAAAACATGCAAGACATAATTATGAAAAAAGCAACCAATAATTTCAACGGTGACAATTTATTTTGATTTTCTGAATCACTAAAAGGTCCAATTTCACTATACCCACTTTAGTTTCCAATTTTATAATTTTTGGTAGACAAATTTTGTCAATATGAACTTAATGGAAGGAGCATGTTTTGATGTTAAGGCATTAATAAATTATCCTCGATAACTTCAGATTTAGCAATCCTCTTTAAATAATGTGAATTCCTTAATCATTAGTTTAGTGGAATACCATTTTCATGGATTTTGTATGTACAGATGAAGCACATACTTAAATGTTCAACAAAGAACAACTTTTCTATAGCCTTTTATGCACACTTTTGTAAAACATGAAATCAAATATCCATGAAAACACATTTTTTTCCTTAAAATCCACAAAAATTGGTACCCACGAAAAACAAACGAATCCAAGGTAGTACATGTGTGATGTTACGTACTAACTGGGTGAATATTGTTGTCATATCCCACACAACACATCATTCTCAAGCATCGGCCTTGCTTTGTATAGGAAACACCACATAACACACATGTACTTTTCTCATGCAACTTGCTTTACATAGTAAGGGACCACATTTTTTGCTGACTCTTGGAGTTAATTGTTTTCTTTAATAAATACTCTAAAGTTGTAATAAAAGTGGGTATTTTGAAATGGACTATTGACAAATAAAAATTATAAATTTATAAAACCCCATAAGATTCTAATAAAAGTAAAATAACAAAAATACTGAACTCTGAGGAAAATTCTAAACGGAAAGTCCCTAAGCAAATGGCAAAATCAAAAGCTCAAACACATCAAACGAATGGATAACAACTGTCATATTCCTGACTTGGTACAGGCATTTTCTTATGTAGAAAATGGTGGATTAAACCTGGTTTTATAGCTAGCTAAACCTCTCACTTGTATGACAGTTGCATAAAATTCCATTATATGGACAACGATGTGTGAACAAAACAAACAGACAAAATAGGTAAAAATGGACCTTCATAGCAAATAGAGATCTGTAATAATTAAACTTAACTATGAATAATAAACACATTAACACATCAAATTATCATGACAAAAAAAAATATTTTTACATGTATCAAAGGTCAACATTAAAATATAACTGAACTCATTGACATTTTCAAAATATGTTTTCATATGAGGGTCTGGATGGAGGTCCTTCATTTCTGTATTCTTTATTTTTTAGGCCATTTTTCTCTATTCTTTATTTATTTTGCCCATTATTCTCTATTCTTTGTATTGTAGTACATATTTTTTCTCTATTCTTTATCATTTTGATCTATTTTTTTTGTAATCTTGGTCCATTTTTCTCTATTCTGTTAACCCCATCCAGACCCTCTCATATGACTGAAATACTCAGTTTACTTCCTTTTCTATCATGTGGTAATATTCTTTTCACATGAATAGTCCAGAGTGCAGTTATAATATATATAAACTTGTCTTTGATTTAGGTCAATATTCAGATGGGGGGTTAAAAGTACACAAATGTTTGATTCATAAACAACAAAACATCCAAACAAAATTTACATACAATAACGTCAGCTTATACAACATGAACAAAATATTACACTCTGAATACACATTAATGTAAGCTAAAAAAAAACATCAATAAATGTCATATTTGAAATTTCAGTTTCAAGTTTCAAAATATGAAAAAATGACAAAGCTTTCATAATTAACAACCCAAATTCAGAAATTATTATTGTCAATTATTATTCTGATTTTCGAAGAATAAACAAAACTGCGAGATTAATTATTGAGATTTCAGGAAAATCTACATACAGTTATATGTATCAAATTCAAAATGTGAGTTCTTATTACTGTGATACTCAACCGGTTTCATTATTTGCATTAATAAAAACCTTGCAATAACTTCTGAATTTACAGTACACCATTTAGTTATACATTATAAACAATGCTGCCGGGAAGTAAAAATTGAGATATATACACATGATAATTCAGCTACACATACATGACATAATTATGTACTAAAATGCAAAGTATCAAAAAATGTTTGATGAAATTAAGTGCACTTGATGAAATTGAATAAAGAAATATGTGGGACATTTGTCAATGACACAGCAATCCAAATTTAAGGATGTTCGCTTCTCTTGTTTTTGATTTTCTGCCAGATATTTGGAATCCTCTGGTTTTATCCATGTAGTGTCATTAAAAAATTTTGCCCACTAACCCCTACTTTTCTTTCACTAATTTGATTACATTTAGTTTAAAAAGTCATCTGTGAAAATCTTATAAAATCCTTGATGTTTTTTCATTGTTTTTGAAAGAAAAAAGGTGCCAATGTTAAATGAATAAAAAATCTAGAGAGAAGTATTTCCCGTCAAATTTTCAATGACTTATATCTCGTAAACAAGCACACGGACCCTTCATTTTTTTCTGCTTTTTTAGTTTCTTTATTTATATACTATCAATTTATAACAGTTTTTTTAAAAACCTTGTTATTTTGAAAAAGAGTAGCAAACATCCTTAAATAAGTAACTTATACATAAGCAGTTAAACATGTTAAAGTTAGCTCTAATGACTTATAGGCGACCTTTAAAAAACATTTAGTGACAGATGATAATGATTCAAAGACTCCCGGACAGCCGGACTGCCATTATATTATTTAACAGTATATTTGTTTAGTCATGTATATGATTGAAATTGAAGTATCAATAAAACAGGTTCTGTAAAATAATACTGTAAATTCAGAAATTATTGCGATGTTTTTATTATTGCGAAAAATGCGACAGGGTTATAATCGCAATAATCTAAACTCGCATTTTGAAATTTTTTATATAAATTAAACAGGATTTTTCTCAATATCGCAAAAATTAAAATCGCATTTTAGTCTAAAATGACAAAATCGCAATAATAAATGCACGCAATAATTTCTGAATTTACAGTAAACTTAAAATTTATTAGCTTTATCCTTGAACCCTATAAATGAAACACAGATTTTTCAAAAGAAAATTGTTCTTTTATTTAAATGCATAACATATTGTACTAGCCAAAATTATAAATGCATAACAAACTTTAGGTAGCATGTATAAATTTACAGTCGATGACTCTTTAACTCTCTATAGTGCAACACATAATTATACAAAAGTAAAAAAAAAACCAAAAAACTGAATGTTTCTATCACTGATTGCTATATCTTTGCACAAAGGGCTGGTCTTTGGACATACCACTATCATCTTATGCAATTTCTTACACACTGATTTCTATGTTCTGAGGTATAAAATGGACTCGTGTCATGTCGTGATCTGCAATATCCTCTGGAGATCCCCTCTTGTGTTTGTCATGTGACATGAGGTGCCGTTTAAGAAATTTGGTTACTGGAACGGTTGTCAACATGAAGCCAGCTAGAATGATAAAGATACTGCTGAAGTAGAAAGTATTATTGTAACTTCCTGATGTGTCATACAGCCAACCTGAAAAAATAAAATCAACAAATTTCAGTGTGGGACGACAGAAATCTTGAGAAAATAAAATGAACAATTTACAGTGTCCGATATCTCATTAACAGATTAGGGGTATCTTAAGAATACTTTCAGTAAATGCAAGTATCTTTGATATATGATATCAATTATTAATGTTTGATCTGTGTTTTCTTGTCTAGTATACATTTTGTAGATATAAGAAGATGTGGTATGAATGCCAATGAGACAACTTTATTATAGAGTTTATTTACATATGAATTTTCATTATAAAAATAAGGACATGTAGTATGATTGCCAATGAGACAACTTTTCACCAGAGACCAAAAGAGGTAGATGTAAGCAACTATATGGTTAAAAGGAAGTAAATAAAGATGATTGTCACCACCTAGATTTCACATCCAAGATAATAGGTAGAAGTAAATTTATTTTCTGCTGCCCTAGTAATTAGAAATCAAAATTGAAATAGTGAGAAATGAGTGTTGGCCATTGGTGTAGAAATAGCGAGAAATTTAGAGAAAACTCTCTGTGACGAGAAACGTTTTCTGTGCCAAATTAAGCAAGGGGTGTTCTTCATTTATACTATTTCGAAAATTCCGGAACCGTTGAGTACCCTTAAAAAATGCCATTTTTCTATCAAAAAAGCTGCGGCACCATATGTGTTTTGCAGTTTCAATTACACCCAAAGGTGTTGATAATTCAGATTTCGACATTTTTTTCAATGGATCTTTGATAGGGAAAACGCAGGACCAAAAAAGGCTACCATTGTCGCCTATGTAAATAATTACTTCCTTGTAACCATATAGATCAATGTCCAGCCTTCAACAATGAGTAAAACCCATGTCTTATATAGTCACCTATAAAAATAAGTCTTCCCTTTGATAGTTTTACAGTAACAGATGATATCATAATTTTGTTGACCATTATAAAATGTCACAGAAAACCATAGATATGTTCCACTTGTGGTAACTAACCACCATCAAGTTTTCTTTTCCTCGTCTGGCACATTATCCTAAATCTCCTTTTATTCTAATTAGAAAATATTTGAAAAGTTGGAGTATTTAAAAAGTTGAAATATTTAAATATTTTGGCCAAAAGCACATTAGCATTGATTCTGTGTTATGAGGACATTATAGACGCCCAAATTCAGGCTTAAATATGAAAAATTTATCAAATATGCCACAAAACATCACTTTTCAGATATTTTTTGTCTAAAATTGAAGTGGCTGCATTCGTGTTCAGTCTCGACCTTTATATATATTATGTATTATCATCAAATACAACATATATTTAAATATTAAGACTGAACACAAGTGCGGCCACTTCTATTTTTGACATTAAAACCGTCTAAAAATTAGCACAAATGCTGAAATTGTGAAGATTTCAGAAATTTTGCATGAATTAATGATGCTAGTACCTGATAAAAGTGCAGTGTAATGTCAAAAACAGCCCATATTTATGTAATGAAAGTATTCTAATTTCCAATAAATAGCTAAAAGTTTAAATTTTTAACAAATTTTTGAAATGCTATATTTTAGGGCCAAAAAGGGGTCTTACCGGGCCTACTCCTTTAATAATAACCTTAAAATCAAGGACCACCTCATCATCAACCTAACGGAAGGGACTAATAATTTATTTGAGGAAATAAAGGGAACAGAATAAAGAAATTCAACTTTATCATGTTTATATAAAATTTCTGTTTTATGAAAACCTGAAAATACAATGCTGCAAACTTTACTCATCTGATTATTAAATATACATTTATGTCAGGAAGCAGAGATTTGTGAACAGGACATCTATGCTTGACTATATATAAGCGTGTGTACATGACTGATTGTGTGTGAATTATGGCTTTTAAAAGTTAACTTACAATACCAGCCATGGAATCTAAGCTTAAAATAGTTAACAAGTCTGAGCTGACTCTACACATGCATGCAAGATTACTTTATTCCATCCTAAATACCAATGTTGTTTATTTACATTGAAGGTCATACTTTTCCCTCACAAATAAGAAGTTTTTTTTACGTAATATCAAACATATATCTAACACATTAAATAGCTCAATCAAACATTATTTGTGTTCTCTGATTAAGTTGATACCTGGCACATTTTTAGAGTTCAAACAAGAGTCCATGAGCAGAACCACAACTGTAACAAAGAGCTAACCCTCAGCTGGGGGCCCTAAAATAGCATCAGTAAAAGAATAATTGTTGGCGGTTTGACCTCATATATAAGAATTGCCCAAGATCAACACTGGTTAGATTCAGGGTTGAAAAAACAAATAAAATTTATATGATTTAATTAGCAAATAACTCCTGTCAACTTCAAATTTTGAGCAAACTCATAATCAGTGTCTTGAATTCGGCTGTGAAATTATATTCTGATACAAATCACTACCAACGTTGTAAACTTGCTTGCTGCAGACTTCAACTATGTACCTAAAGAAGGTATCAATCTCAGATTAATCTATATAGGATTTAAATTTGATAAAGACCCTCTAAAAATGTTATCAAAAATGTTACACATATCAAGCATGTCAAGCAGACTGTACAAACAATTACTACTCAGAAAATAATTTGTCAATTTTTTCAGTACAGTTATTTCACACAGCTACTTACATTACAAAATGTGAGAGATGATCAGAGATAACCCTAAAAAGAGGAAACATAAGGGGATTTGAGGTCACTGTCAGGAAACTGGTCCACATTTTTTATTTCTTACAACACGGTACAAACTAAAATGTTTGGTTTAAATAATATATATAGTATTGATAGACAACTGTATAACTTCGTCGAAACAGAAAGTTCAGAAAGTATAAACAGCAAGGGGTGCCACTACCTATTTACCTACCACTTTCTGGTTTTGAAATATAACCTGAAACAGTCACACAAATTGAAATGACATATATTTCAGCAAATTTTGGTATATTTCCCTTTTTGTTTCTGTATTAGAATATATATAAATCTGTGTCAAGGAAAGACATTTCATACCAAGATACAGTCTATAATCCTTACCAATCAATGAGTAGAAACTTGTCTTTATAAATATTAGTCGCAACAAATGAAAATTTAACATATTTCAATGTCTCAGCAGGTATTAGTCATGAGAAATGTTTAAATGCATACATGTAAATGTATATGTCTTATTTGTACTACATGTACAATGTCAATGATGTTGAATCCTTTGAAATGTTGAAAAATGGGATCTTACAAATAAAAATGCCTCACATCACAAAATTTGAACAGAAAATAGAAAGTTGTGACCTTCCCTAATAGAAATTACACATTCTGCTTATATATTTCAGACCTAATGTTTTAACATGCAATGCAATATATATATGCAATATTGTAAAATTTATAAGTTTTACTTCATGCAAAAGGCTAAACTCTGTGGCTAGACTTAAATATACCTCTTCATCACAGAAAATTCTGCATAATGTAATTAAAGTGGGTCTCATTGGGGTCTAAGTGTGACGCAGGATTGCCGATTTTTTGTAAGCGTGACACGTGAAAGTCAAATTATTGTGCCGTGAAAACGGGAAATGAAGTCTAGCAGGACACAGGAAATTACAAATAAAATGCTTCGCTGGGCGCAGCTTGATACGACCGCAGAGGTCGAACCCTGAACAGTTGGGGCAAGTATGGACACAACATTCAAGCTTGATACAGCTCTGAATTTGGATTGTGATTAAATATTTGACACAGCATAGGTTTCTGACACAGAAAGAATGTGGTCTAAGAACTTCAATTTTTTTAATTTACCTATTATGGTCCAATGTCCAAAATCAAAATACATGGTTAGATTCAGCATATCAAAGAACCCCATATATTCAATTTTTGTTGAAATCAAACAAAGTTTAATTTTGGACCCCAACTTGGACAAACTTGAAAACTGGTCCCATAATCAAAAATCTAAACACATGTTTAGAATCAGCATATCAAAGTACCCGAAGAATTCAATTTTTGTTAAAATCAAACTAAGTTTAATTTTGGACCCTTAGGACCTTAATGTAGACCAATTTAAAAAACAGGACCCAAAATTAAAAATCTAAATACACGGTTAGATTTGGCATATCAAAGAACCCCAATAATTCAATTTTTGATGAAATCAAACAAAGTTTAATTTTGGACCCTTTTGACCTCAATATGAACCAATTTGATAGCGGGCCCACAAATAAAAAATCTAAATACATGGTAAGATTCAGCATATCAAAGAACCCCATATATTCAATTTTTGTTGAAATCAAACAAAGTTTAATTTTGGACCCCAATTTGGACCAACTTGAAAACTGGGCCAAAAATCTAAAATCTAAATACATGTTTAGAATCAGCATATCAAAGAACCCCATATATTCAATTTTTGTTGAAATCAAACAAAGTTTAATTTTGGACCCAACTTGGACCAACTTGAAAACTGGGCCCATAATCAAAAATCTAAACACATGTTTAGATTCAGCATATCAAAGAACCCCAAGAATTCAATTTTTGTTAAAATCAAACTAAGTTTAATTTTGGACCCTTTGGACCTTAATGTAGACCAATTTAAAAAACGGGACCCAAAATTAAAAATCTTATTACACGGTTAGATTTGGCATATCAAAGAACCCCAATAATTCAATTTTTGATGAAATCAAACAAAGTTAAATTTTGGACCCTTTGGACCTCAATGTGGACCAATTTAAAAACGGGCCCAAAATCCAAAAACTTAATACACGGTTAGATTCAGCATATTAAAGAACCCCAAGAATTCAAGAATAAAACCCCATTGAAATTGATCAAGAAATAAGCAATTTATACGAAGTATCTTCTTTTGCACAATACTGTGCAATTGAATATTTCTTGCTATTGCGCAATACTGTACAATTGGCAATTTCTTGCTATTGCACAATATTGTGCTATTGGATATTTCTTGCTATTGCGCAATACTGTGCAATTGAAGATTTCTTGCTATTGCGCAATACTGTGCAATTGAAGATTTCTTGCTATTGTGCAATACTGTGCAATTGAAAATTTCTTGCTATTGCACAAAACTTATTATATAATAATTTACACATCCTGTTTGGTGTGTATCTCCTACCCTATCATTATTATTTGCTTTTAAATATAAATCAGAAATAACCAACTTAAAATGGAAAATTTTAAAAGAAAAAAAAAAGGAAAAAAAGAAAAAAAAAAAAAAAAAAAAATCCCCCCCCCCCAAATTTTTTGAACCCCCTTATGATTCATCACCCCCAAACTCAATCCCAGCCTTCCCTTTGTGGTATGGTACCTTGCAGTACAATTTCAGAGAGATCCATACACTTGAACACAAGTTATTGTCTGGAAACTAGAAAAATGCTTATTTTTGGCCCCTTTTTGGCCCCCAATTCCTAAACGTTTCGGGCAATTACCCCCAAACTCAATTCCAGCTTTCCCTTTGTGATATGGAACCTTGTAGTACAATTTCAGAAATATCCAAACACTTACACACAAGTTATTGTCATGAAACTAGAAAAATGCTTGTTTTTTGCCCCTTTTTTGGCCCCTAATTCCTAAAATTTTGAGGCAATTACCCCCCAAATCAATTACAGCCTTCCCTTTGTGATATGGAACCTTGTGGTACAATGTCAGAGAGATCCATACACTTACACACAAGTTATTGTCTGAAAGTTACAAAAATGCTTATTTTTGGCCCCTTTTTCCTTAACTGTTGGTACCATAACCCCCAAAATCAATCCCAACCTTCCTTTCGTGGTATTGAACCTTATGGTGAAATTTCATGGAGATCCATTCACTTAAACTAAAGTTAGAGTGCGAAAACCAATGTGTCTTCGGACGACGCCAGACGACGCCGGACGACGACGACGACGACAACGACGACGACGACGATGACGACGCCAACGTCATACCAATATACGACCAAAAAATTAAAAATTTTTGCGGTCGTATAAAAAATGAGAATTGCTTACCTACATAGTGTAAGCGGGATACGGGAATCTGACAAAACAGTAAGCGGGATCCGGGATCAGAACCCCCCAATGAGACCCCATTAAATTCAAAACCATGAACATGAAGAACATCCATTTTTACATACATTTTTGTGCATAAAAATGAGAAGATGTGGTATGATTGCCAATGAGACAACTTATATCCACCAGAGACCAAATGCATGAAATGATGTAGCTGTAAGAAACTATAGGTCACAGTACTGCCTTCAACAATGAGACATTTTTGTACAATTACATCTCCTCTCATCAATCTAAAAATTGTGACAAAGAAAAAGATTGTATCACAGTGCATGCAAAGAATCTGAATTTGAATTTCTAACATACCAGACATGCTTTATCCATGCAACTAATGGGATTACTGAATTATCTCCCTTTACAGTTTTTTGTAAGTTTTTGTACAATTACATATCTTTTCATCAATCTAAAAATTATGACAAAGAAAAAGATTGTATCACAGTGCATGCAAAGAATCTGAATTTGAATTTCTAACATGCACCTGCCCTAAGTCAGGAATCTGATGTTCAGTAGTTGTCGTTTGTTGATGTGGTTCATAAGTGTTTCTCGTTTCTCGTTTTTTATATAGATTAGACCGTTGGTTTTCCCGTTTGAATGGTTTTACACTAGTAATTTTTTGGGGCCCTTTATAGCTTACTGTTCGGTGTGAGCCAAGGCTCCGTGTTGAAGACCGTACTGTGACCTATAATGGTTTACTTTTATAAATTTTGACTTGGATGGAGAGTTGTCTCATTGGAACTCATACCACATCTTCTTATATCTATGCTTTATCCATGCAACTAATGGGATTACTGAATTATCTCCCTTTAAAGTTTTTTGTAAGTTTCCAATCAAGGGAAATGCAATTTCAATCACACTTTATGTCTCACTTGTGCATAGTTAAATACACCTTTAGTTTCTAAAAGTTTAAAAGTGTGAATTAATAACTTATATGGACAAATTATAAGAACATATTAATTAAGCCCTTTTAACATGTTTAATTGACAAAACAATTTGTCTTAAAAATTCCCTTACTATTTTTTCAAATAAAGGCATTACTAAACATTGCTAAAAAGCCATTTTTTTACTCTCAATGATCAATAAGATGACTATACAAATATAATGCAGTCAAAGGGAAATAATTCTTGAATCTTTAGGCACATTCCTTATCATATGTGATGATAAAAAAAAAAAGAGAACCAAAATAACAAATTATAAATATGATATACATTATATGTAACTTAACTATGAAAAAATATATTTTTCTATTATTGCTTTATATTCTAAAAGGGAACATTTCAATTTCCTATATGAAACAAAGGGATATCAATACCAGTAGTTCACATACACAGACAATTCAGAAATTAATGTGTGCGTTTATTATTGTGAATCTTTGGAATTGACCACTGTCAAAAATGTGATCTGATTAAGGAAATGCGAATATTATTATGTCTCATCAAACAAAATAAGCGTTCTATAAATTACATGTATATTTACCTGCAACTGGTGGTCCAACCATATTGGCAATCCCTTGTATAAGCATGGTCAGTCCATATGCATTTGTTAACTTGTCCATACCCAAAAATTCCACCAAAATTAATGTTGAAAGAACATAGTTAGCACTGATGAAGAATCCAAATACACCACTTATGATGGCCAATACCGAAAAGCTTGAGAACATAGGATAAAATAATAGTGCAAGTCCTGACAGACTAATGGATAGGCCATACAGTAGTGGAAGATTAATATTCTTGTCACCAATATAGCCATACATAATTTGTCCGATAGTATTAACCCCTCCAATAACAGAGAGTAAATATGACGCCTTTTTATCTGAGATTCCAACGTTTTTGGCCTGATCCACTGAAAACACATAAGGCACGTCGTACCAGAAGTACAATGTAAAATTGGACAACGCAAACAAGATGAAAAGGGGACTTTTGATAATCTTTGGATCGAACATAGTTCTGAAAAACTTTTTCATGTGTTTTGAAAATCTAAGTAGTTTTGGCATTCCTGGACACCATTCGTCTTCATCATCTGAACTATCATCATCAAATGATCCATGATATAATTCTGGACAACTGGTTGATCGGTAATGAATATGGGAAATCTTCATGATATTTCCACGGTAAAACAAATCTTTACGACACATTGGGAAATATTGTGACAATTTTGCCCTTTGCACTGTTTTTTGTTTGTTGCGAAATTTCTGTCTTTTAATAGGATCTTCTTTAACGATAACAATTTTGTCATTACTAGTGACTGTCAACATACCTTCTATGGGATTGTTAATAATGTTAACATCAGATGAACCTCTTGTGCGGAAATAATTCTTTAGAATATCAAGAGCTTCATCAGTGTTTGTGCACATTTCCTTGAAAACTTCTTTTGGTATTTTGTTCTTCTTTTCTGCCAGAAATGTTGGTAGTATTACTTGCGAATGACTTAACTGCTCAGATCCAATATATTTCTCCTCATCTGAATCACTGCTAGAGCTGTCCGATTCACTACATTTTCTACTACGTCTACCATGATCAGGAAGACTGGCTTTTGACACTGACCTTGACATTTTTTCGAATGCTTCTAGATTTCTTTGCCACTCTTGTTCTGGAGTGAATTCCAAAGGTCGTAACAAGGCACCACAAACAACTAAATTTAATGTAATTCCACTAAGAATTATAAATGATCCTCTCCACGTGTATTCTTCAATCAAGTACTCAAGGAATGGAGCAAATAAAAATGTTCCGATTCCTGATCCACAGACAGCAAGCCCTGTAGCAAGGGCCCGTTTCTTATGGAAATAGAAAGCCACCATGACAAGTGATGTCACATATCCCATAGACATGCCAGTTCCTGCTACTATTCCAAACAAGAAACACAACATGCCAATAGAATTGGCAAAGGCACTGGCAAACACGCCAATGCTTGTTAATATTCCGCCAAATATCAAAACTTTTCTACATCCAAATTTTGTTGCCAGTCCACCAGCTAAGGGACCTGCTATCAAGGGCATCCCGAAAAATAAAGATGGGATCCATGAAGTTGTACTTTTACTCTCTCCAAAAACATCCAACAATTCTGAATACAAAACGCCCAAAGAAAAGGCAAAGCCATCACTAATCATATTAGTCAAAAATGCGCTCAATACAATGATCCATCCATAGCCCCCGTCTGGTGCGGGCGGCATAGAAATGGTTGATGATTCAATGGAAAGACTTCCATCTGAGCTGGAAGATGACACACTTTTTGAGATCGGTTTGTTCTTGCCATTTTCATCACATGATTCGGCCATTGTATATCACAGAACTTAGTCTTAATAAATCGTTGATTTAAATTGTTACTGGAGAAGAATTCGGCTAAGTATATACAGAATATATCAGATAAACACAGTTTAGTCATTGGCCTACACAAATGTAATTTACTTCTTACACTGAGATGTAAATTCCAGTGAGGTCCAGCCTTGAACTTCATCAGTAGTGGGAATATTCTGAAAGTAGAAGAAAATTATGAATAAGGACCAGCCTTACACTTCATCAGTAGTGGGAATATTCTGAAAGTAGAAGAAAAATCATGATTAAGGACCAGCCTTGCACTTTATTAGTAGTGGGAATATTATGAAAATAAAAGAAAAATCATGATTTATAAGGACCAGCCTTTCACTTCATCAGTAGTGGGAATATTCTGAAAGTAGAAGAAAAATCATGATTAAGGACCAGCCTTGCACTTTATTAGTAGTGGGAATATTATGAAAATAAAAGAAAAATCATGATTTATAAGGACCAGCCTTTTACTTCATCAGTAGTGGGAATATTCTGGAAGTAGAAGAAAAATCATGATTAAGGACCAGCCTTGCACTTTATTAGTAGTGGGAATATTATGAAAATAAAAGAAAAATCATGATTTATAAGGACCAGCCTTTTACTTCATCAGTAGTGGGAATATTCTGAAAGTAGAAGAAAAATCATGATTAAGGACCAGCCTTGCACTTTATTAGTAGTGGGAATATTATGAAAATAAAAGAAAAATCATGATTTATAAGGACCAGCCTTTTACTTCATCAGTAGTGGGAATATTCTGAAAGTAGAAGAAAAATCATGATTAAAGACCAGCCTTGCACTTTATTAGTAGTGGGAATATTATGAAAATAAAAGAAAAATCATGATTTATAAGGACCAGCCTTTCACTTCATCAGTAGTGGGAATATTCTGAAAGTAGAAGAAAAATCATGATTAAGGACCAGCCTTGCACTTTATTAGTAGTGGGAATATTATGAAAATAAAAGTAAAATCATGATTTATAAGGACCAGCCTTTCACTTCATCAGTAGTGGGAATATTCTGAAAGTAGAAGAAAAATCATGATTAAGGACCAGCCTTGCACTTTATTAGTAGTGAGAATATTATGAAAATAAAAGAAAAATCATGATTTATAAGGACCAGCCTTTTACTTCATCAGTAGTGGGAATATTCTGAAAGTAGAAGAAAAATCATGATTAAGGACCAGCCTTGCACTTTATTAGTAGTGGGAATATTATGAAAATAAAAGAAAAATCATGATTTATAAGGACCAGCCTTTTACTTCATCAGTAGTGGGAATATTCTGAAAGTAGAAGAAAAATCATGATTAAGGACCAGCCTTGCACTTTATTAGTAGTGGGAATATTATGAAAATAAAAGAAAAATCATGATTTATAAGGACCAGCCTTTTACTTCATCAGTAGTGGGAATAGTCTGAAAGTAGAAGAAAAATCATGATTAAGGACCAGCCTTGCACTTTATTAGTAGTGGGAATATTATGAAAATAAAAGAAAAATCATGATTTATAAGGACCAGCCTTTCACTTCATCAGTAGTGGGAATATTCTGAAAGTAGAAGAAAAATCATGATTAAGGACCAGCCTTGCACTTTATTAGTAGTGGGAATATTATGAAAATAAAAGAAAAATCATGATTTATAAGGACCAGCCTTTCACTTCATCAGTAGTGGGAATATTCTGAAAGTAGAAGAAAAATCATGATTAAGGACCAGCCTTGCACTTTATTAGTAGTGGGAATATTATGAAAATAAAAGAAAAATCATGATTTATAAGGACCAGCCTTGCACTTCATCAGTAGTGGGAATATTCTGAAAGTAGAAGAAAAATCATGATTAAGGACCAGCCTTGCACTTTATTAGTAGTGGGAATATTATGAAAATAAAAGAAAAATCATGATTTATAAGGACCAGCCTTTTACTTCATCAGTAGTGGGAATATTCTGAAAGTAGAAGAAAAATCATGATTAAGGACCAGCCTTGCACTTTATTAGTAGTGGGAATATTATGAAAATAAAAGAAAAATCAAGATTTATAAGGACCAGCCTTTTACTTCATCAGTAGTGGGAATATTCTGAAAGTAGATAAAAATCATGATTAAGGACCAGCCTTGCACTTTATTAGTAGTGGGAATATTATGAAAATAAAAGAAAAATCATGATTTATAAGGACCAGCCTTTCACTTCATCAGTAGTGGGAATATTCTGAAAGTAGAAGAAAAATCATGATTAAGGACCAGCCTTGCACTTTATTAGTAGTGGGAATATTATGAAAATAAAAGAAAAATCATGATTTATAAGGACCAGCCTTGCACTTCATCAGTAGTGGGAATATTCTGAAAGTAGAAGAAAAATCATGATTAAGGACCAGCCTTGCACTTTATTAGTAGTGGGAATATTATGAAAATAAAAGAAAAATCATGATTTATAAGGACCAGCCTTTTACTTCATCAGTAGTGGGAATATTCTGAAAGTAGAAGAAAAATCATGATTAAGGACCAGCCTTGCACTTTATTAGTAGTGGGAATATTATGAAAATAAAAGAAAAATCATGATTTATAAGGACCAGCCTTTTACTTCATCAGTAGTGGGAATATTCTGAAAGTAGAAGAAAAATCATGATTAAGGACCAGCCTTGCACTTTATTAGTAGTGGGAATATTATGAAAATAAAAGAAAAATCATGATTTATAAGGACCAGCCTTTCACTTCATCAGTAGTGGGAATATTCTGAAAGTAGAAGAAAAATCATGATTAAGGACCAGCCTTGCACTTTATTAGTAGTGGGAATATTATGAAAATAAAAGAAAAATCATGATTTATAAGGACCAGCCTTTTACTTCATCAGTAGTGGGAATATTCTGAAAGTAGAAGAAAAATCATGATTAAGGACCAGCCTTGCACTTTATTAGTAGTGGGAATATTATGAAAATAAAAGAAAAATCATGATTTATAAGGACCAGCCTTTGACTTCATCAGTAGTGGGAATATTCTGAAAGTAGAAGAAAAATCATGATTAAGGACCAGCCTTGCACTTTATTAGTAGTGGGAATATTATGAAAATAAAAGAAAAATCATGATTTTTAAGGACCAGCCTTTTACTTCATCAGTAGTGGGAATATTCTGAAAGTAGAAGAAAAATCATGATTAAGGACCAGCCTTGCACTTTATTAGTAGTGGGAATATTATGAAAATAAAAGAAAAATCATGATTTATAAGGACCAGCCTTTCACTTCATCAGTAGTGGGAATATTCTGAAAGTAGAAGAAAAATCATGATTAAGGACCAGCCTTGCACTTTATTAGTAGTGGGAATATTATGAAAATAAAAGAAAAATCATGATTTATAAGGACCAGCCTTTCACTTCATCAGTAGTGGGAATATTCTGAAAGTAGAAGAAAAATCATGATTAAGGACCAGCCTTGCACTTTATTAGTAGTGGGAATATTATGAAAATAAAAGAAAAATCATGATTTATAAGGACCAGCCTTGCACTTCATCAGTAGTGGGAATATTCTGAAAGTAGAAGAAAAATCATGATTAAGGACCAGCCTTGCACTTTATTAGTAGTGGGAATATTATGAAAATAAAAGAAAAATCATGATTTATAAGGACCAGCCTTTCACTTCATCAGTAGTGGGAATATTCTGAAAGTAGAAGAAAAATCATGATTAAGGACCAGCCTTGCACTTTATTAGTAGTGGGAATATTATGAAAATAAAAGAAAAATCATGATTTATAAGGACCAGCCTTTCACTTCATCAGTAGTGGGAATATTCTGAAAGTAGAAGAAAAATCATGATTAAGGACCAGCCTTGCACTTTATTAGTAGTGGGAATATTATGAAAATAAAAGAAAAATCATGATTTATAAGGACCAGCCTTGCACTTCATCAGTAGTGGGAATATTCTGAAAGTAGAAGAAAAATCATGATTAAGGACCAGCCTTGCACTTTATTAGTAGTGGGAATATTATGAAAATAAAAGAAAAATCATGATTTATAAGGACCAGCCTTTTACTTCATCAGTAGTGGGAATATTCTGAAAGTAGAAGAAAAATCATGATTAAGGACCAGCCTTGCACTTTATTAGTAGTGGGAATATTATGAAAATAAAAGAAAAATCAAGATTTATAAGGACCAGCCTTTTACTTCATCAGTAGTGGGAATATTCTGAAAGTAGAAGAAAAATCATGATTAAGGACCAGCCTTGCACTTTATTAGTAGTGGGAATATTATGAAAATAAAAGAAAAATCATGATTTATAAGGACCAGCCTTTCACTTCATCAGTAGTGGGAATATTCTGAAAGTAGAAGAAAAATCATGATTAAGGACCAGCCTTGCACTTTATTAGTAGTGGGAATATTATGAAAATAAAAGAAAAATCATGATTTATAAGGACCAGCCTTGCACTTCATCAGTAGTGGGAATATTCTGAAAGTAGAAGAAAAATCATGATTAAGGACCAGCCTTGCACTTTATTAGTAGTGGGAATATTATGAAAATAAAAGAAAAATCATGATTTATAAGGACCAGCCTTTTACTTCATCAGTAGTGGGAATATTCTGAAAGTAGAAGAAAAATCATGATTAAGGACCAGCCTTGCACTTTATTAGTAGTGGAAATATTATGAAAATAAAAGAAAAATCATGATTTATAAGGACCAGCCTTTCACTTCATCAGTAGTGGGAATATTCTGAAAGTAGAAGAAAAATCATGATTAAGGACCAGCCTTGCACTTTATTAGTAGTGGGAATATTATGAAAATAAAAGAAAAATCATGATTTATAAGGACCAGCCTTGCACTTCATCAGTAGTGGGAATATTCTGAAAGTAGAAGATAAAATAAAGGATAAATACCAGAATTAAGATTGATTAAAGTTCTAAAAAACCTACATTTATGTACATCTCAATCCTATATTTAAAAAAAAAAGGACAATGAACCATTCACTTGGAAGTGGATTATTTTTGGACCATTCACTTGGAAGTGGATTACTTTTGGACCATTCACTTGGAAGTGGATAATTTTTGGACCATTCACTTGGAAGTGAATTATTTTTGGTAAGTTGTATCTACCTTTCAGACAAAGTTCCATTGTAGTCAGGGGAGATTATTATTAATATTAAATAAAAAAATAAAAGAAGAATATGTCTGAGAACACAAAATGCTCCTGCTCAAGC